TTAAAATTTGGTGGCCCGATTGGGCCACTAAAATTTCAAAATGTCTATGTGATAAAAATAATTGTTTCTTACGTGCTAATCTCATTCAAAAGAGAGCGAGCAATTCGCGGAGCGAGGGCACACGTACGCACGTGTAGCATTCTACCGCGGGCATACACGGGCGCACGGTTTATCCGTCTACTGTGGCTGCAACAAGCCACGTTATTGTGTTAGACTGGTATCCGGCCTCACGCTCTGCTAGACAATGTACACGCTCTGCGACAAACAGTTCGGCCGCGAACCAGTCTAGCCAGAGGTCAAAATCTGAGCGGGCGCAGGCCATAGCATATTTTGCAAGCGCCAGCATACATGTGATTACATTGTATCAAGCGAACCAGACAATGCGTCTAGACAATACGCCTGTCTGCAGTGTACTGTGGAGGCGTATGTAAAATGAACGCGAGCAATGAGAGTTTCGAAGGCAAACAATTGTCATAATAAAAAAATGATTAAATTTCTTCCTTTTTTGATGCATTTTGTTAAAAATGTTAAAAATACGGGACACACATGCGTCCCGGGAAGGGTCGGTACGGGACGCGGGACACATGGGCAAAATACGGGACGTCTGGTCACCCTGATTGCTAGCTAGCTGCACTGGTGCTCACTGTTTCGGATCGGAAGTGAAACTGCCAGTGTTCGAAAGTTCGCGTAGAATAACTGAACTATTCCATGAAGATGATCAGTATTTTTATCCGAAGTGTAATATTAGTGCTTTGTAAGTTTATTTATGCATTTTCTCTGTCTCTTTACGCAACGAAATATTGAACTTAGTCTTAAACATGGCTGCTTTTTCTTTTTAAATGCATGCGTACCCAGGCTACTTTGTTGATATAATTATGGTTCTACTTTATTTTATTAAATCTGCAATATTTTATGTTTACAGTTTCAAAGCCTGCCAGACATTTTAACTTTCATGAGATTAAATGTATATGTTTTATTTTAACAGGAAAAGCCAATGTGTTGTTGTTTTATTACAGTTACTTGTTTTAATATTTGCATGCTCTGTGACTTTGATCTTCTTGAACGTCTGAACTGATCGATAGCATGTGCACGTGCGTGTTTAGATAAATAATGAGTGAAAGTAGAAAAATGGTATGCAAGATTCTGGTGAAAATTTGATGCAGTGGAATGGATAATTCAAATGTATGCCTCAATCATCAATGTCAGTGTGAGCCATTGTGTGGGGTTTGTTTAAAGACTTGTGCAAGTGCATCAGACGGCCCAATTTTCAAATAATATACAATACGAGATTGAAATAAAGATTTATAATGTTTTTCTTTGTTTTTTTCCGGGCCACCAGATTTCATTTTCGGGCCACCCAAAATTGGAAATCAATCATTTTGGTGGCCCGATCGGGCCACTGAAAAAAAAAGTTAGTGTCGAGCCTTGATATATGATATATATAAAATAATCTCAAAGGAGTTGGACACATCCTGCTGTTTTACTGATTTTCCACTTCAGATTTTGGCATTAATAAAAACAAAAATGTATATATGTTATTCAGCTTATTTCGTTTTTTTAATTATTCACCTACAATGTACTGAAATCAGTTTATAGCTATTTACTGTTGTATTGCTATAAATTGTTTTCAAACGCAATGTTGATTTGAAAGCTTTTCGGTATGTTGCCACAACTATGCAGGCATATTTAGTAGATTTTTCAATCGTATATATATATATATATATATGAATAAATAAATAAATATATATATGAGTGAATGTATCATATATATATGTAATATAATATAATAATATAATATAGATGTAATTCTGTCTCATAGGAATGACATAAGCCTAAGCAGAAATGCTAGTGGCAATCTAGTATGGCTGGATGCAGTGAAGCATTTCCTCCGAAACCTATCGAAGCCAGCGTTCTTGTCGACTATTCGTTCTCACCTTGTTGGACAAGGCCATCTCCCGAGTGCGGTAACACCAGAGACGCTCGCCGGTCTGCTGGTGCAAGAGGTACGTTTATTTTTCTTCCATCCTGTTTAAGAGGTAGCAGGCAAATTGGGTTAGTTTTCCAAATAATTAATGTGCAAATATTGTGTGTTGCAGACAAAGAAGCCAGGCTCACTACTGAAAGTTCTTCCAGGGTTACTTTTCACAGTCGTACCAAGTCCAGCATCTGCAATGCAGGCTAGCAATGAGAGGTACCGACATCGCTACAAGAAGTTGCGAAAGCTTGTAAGGGAAATGACCTTTGTGAGTTTTATTTCTACTACTTACATTAACCCTTAATGTTACAAACATTGCAGGAACATAAAACAATGGGATTAGTTCCTGTAATAGTACCACAGTGCTCTCTACAGTTTGAAATGATAGGATTGGGGAACCAAAGGGTTGGTTGAGAAAGAGGCTAATTATATTATGGCCAGGTGCCATGAAGTCATTTTATTAGCTCACCTTGACATCGTCAAGCTGAGCTATTGCCATGGGTCGTTGTCCGTCGTACGTCCGTCAGTCCGTCAACATTTGGCTACGGTCAACGATAACTCAGGAACCGTTTGACCCACATGTTTGAAATTGGGTATAGTTGTTACGGCTATGCTCCCATATTAAACGTCCTATTTTGGAGCACGCCAGTCGACGTATTTTCGAGCCACGGCCATTTTTTGGCAAAAATGGGAATTGCCATTAGTCAGTATTTTGCTCATTTTTGGTATGTGAATGAATAAGGGCTAGGGGTTTTGATATTTAATTTTTTTTAATGCAAATTAGGTAGGTTTTGGCAATTATATAGCATATTATATAGACACGCAGATAACAAACAGTCTGTGGTGTCACACTCGTCTGGTTCGTTTTACAAGATTTCATTGACAATATCTTATATGCTTTAATGCAAAATTCCTGCTATGAACATATTATGATTTATACTATTATTATGATATAATGATTATGCTAAGAAACATCAAAGCGGGTATAGCGCCATCTACCGTCACAAATTGTGATTCATTTTGGTTATAAATTATTTATTATTTATATATAATATTATTTATTATTTTCACATAAAAATTACACATAATTATCAAGAGTATATAATGGGAGTTCTCCCATATATACTCTTCGTTTCTATAATGTACGTCGATGGTTGCTCAATTAAAACTGACTTCTTCTCACTCACTCATTTGTGTCCTTTTTTGTGGTGAGCTACAGTGTCATTGACACTTTCATTATGTAAAGTAAAACCAGTCGATAAAAATAATTAGTTATTTCATCAGACGTTGGCTGTATTAAAACAACATGCAACAAATGTACCAGTTCTTACTGATATAAAACATATGCTGTCACTCTGCGAGAAGGCGATTAGAATAGGTGAGCTTCTGGGAAGGGTCTTACTTTTGTGCTCCTCCCAGGCACCTGTTACCCCTACAGCATTCCTCTACATAGTCTGCTATGCTCATCAAAAACACTTCTTTATCTAATACAGGGTCCGAACGGGCATGGAAATGTCCTGGAATTTGATACGACTCCTTGTAAACTCCTTGAATTTTAAAATATTGTGTTTTATACTGGAATTGTCCTGGTAAAGTTGTTATTGCCCTGGAAAAGTTCTCAAAACTACTGGAATTTATCAAATAAGAAATATAACGCAATAAATATGTCTGTGTTCATTTTATTAATTCTGTTTATCTGTGTTTTTTTCTGAATCATGTTTTCATGTCCTCTATTCCATGTAATGTATCTTTTCAAGCTGTGTCTGAAAACACTGATTTTTTTAAGTTAAGC